GCAACGCAACGCGTAAAAATACAGTATAAGTCATTATAATCCATAATTATGTCCCTACTGGATGCAACGAATGCCTCGTTTGTAATGGGTTTTCATGTTTTTGTCTCGTCGCTCCGGCCGGACACGGCATCAACAGTATGTAAGGGGCGTAACATTTCCGTCTCCCGCTTGAGGTATTCGGCCAATCACAACGCACTGGATAGCTGGCCAATCAGAGCACACCTCGCTTTTTCAGACCGATGAGCTTTGTAAAAATCGACGCGTTTCAGAAAGGCGGGGCATAGAGGAGAAACAATAATGTACAGTATGTGGAAAATAATGTGTTTTTTTAACTTTAAACCGCATAAACACATTTCATTACACCAAATACACAAAATAATGTTCTTTTTAGCAGCATCATATGACCCCTTTAATGGACTGTATGGCATCAAAACAAAAGGACCGTCATGATTTATCATTGTGTTATAGATTTACAGTACATATCTGAAATATACCATAAAAAAAACTAGTGTTTTGTTTCTAATGTTTTTAGGAGAGTTTCCTGAGAGTTTCCTAAGAGCGACTAAATACAATTTAGGTCGCGTGAGCCAACGACTGTGTCTGAAATGTACAAATAGAAATTCCTTTTAAAAAATGAAGACTGGGTATTTTTGTATAATTCACACTGGACGCAGGGAAGGAGAGTGTCAGAGCGATGACATGATGATCGATGGATTGAAGCACATAAATGTGTCTTTCAGAAGTGCTTCAGAACTGCAGCGTTTTCACCAGATTTCACAGTCTTGTGTGTGTGTGTGTGTGTGTGTGTATCCTGCAGTGTATCTGTGGTCCTCATAGGAGTTTTTAAGGGCTCTTTTCTCTTAAATTATGGTGTAAACTGATCTGACTGATGCCTCGTTGAGACAGGAAGTGATTTAATACAAGGAGAGGAAGTGAGTAAATCCCAGCAGGATGCTTTACTGCGGCTGCTTTTAACTCATTTAACATTTAGACATATTTGAAATTTTACAATTTAATTTAATTTAATTTAGGAAAATTGTACAGTTTTCATTACTAAATCAAAATTTTATTTTTCATTCAATGCCCCATACACCCAGTTTTTTTCCTCCTAATAACACTTTGTTTTCTTCCTCTATTCAGTATAACTTTCTCTCTCTCTCTTTCATTCATTTCATCTCTCTTTTTCATTTCCTGAGGTCTATATAAAATTATAAATAAATGTAAAAATAAAATAAGTTTAACAAACTTTAAATAATTGACAGAATTACTTGTCTAAAATATGCCCATATGTTAATTCGTTCGTTCGTTCATTCATTCATTAATAAATGTTAGTTTTTCTTAAAAAATAATATAGTTTTAAGACTTTTTTGCATTGTGATAATTATATTTTAACCTTCCATTAAAATGATTCTAAATAACATAATTATAATTATATAAATAATATAATAATTATTAATATTTAAAATAATTAATTAAATAATATTTAGATCCATTGTGATACTGAGAAGTTGGGAGACACTTACAGTAATACAGTGAAAAATGAATGAATTTGTTTTTTAAGCATAAATTAAAGGCAGATATTTAGAAAAAAAAATGTAATTAAGTAAATTTAACAAACTTTATAAATAAATGACAAAAGTAGAATTACAGTAATAGCAGCATTAAAATAAAATTTAAAAAATATGATTAATATTAATTATTCATATATATATGTTTGTGTGTGTGTGATTAATATTATTATTATTGTTGTTGTTGTTATTATTATAAATTCCGTAGGATCACGTTAATGTGTCACTTTTAATTCATATTGACATTTATTAATGCAGTTAATGCTGGAATAACAATTACTTTTCCAAATAATTTTCTCCATATGAACCAAACAAACCAACCAATTAGGTTTTAAAAAGTCAGAAAATCTAATAAATAAATTAATTAATAAAGTCATATGTGTATTTAAAGCACTGAGCTACTCATTCCATGGAGCTTGAGTGATGATACAAACTATAAAACGCTTTACTTTTCTCTCGTTCTCTCTGGTGTTTGTTCTGTAGGTTCTGTCTCAGTCCATCGAGCAGCTGAGGAACCCCAGCACCCATCTAGAGGAGGAGGAGGAGGAGGAGGAGGAGGAAGAGGGAGCGTCTGCGGAGATCACGTCGCCCCCTGCTGGAGTCATACGCAGCCGCAGCTTCAGAAACTCTCCGAGTGAACCCGCGGCCGCCCTCGCCAGAGTCATCCGCCTCAAAACTGAGCCTGAGGACGGAGAGAGAGAGCAAGAGAGACGGGACACACGGAGACACACAGGTGAAGAACAGGAGGAGAGTTCAGCGCAGGTGAAGCCAAGCGACGCCGAACACTGTCTGGAAAACATGACGGAAACTGATGTTTGAAAAAGAGAAAGAAATGAGGAAAGGAAGGAAGGAGGGCTGAATCTCACAAAACTTGTACAAAAAAATTTTCAGGTCATATTTTATTAATTAATTTAAATAAATAAAGTTATTTGTTTTTAACAAAATTTGATAAAATATTACAAAATATTTTTGCTTAAAGAAAATATAGCTTTACAGTTTTTTTTGCATTGTGACACTTTTTTAAATATTCTTAATTAAAATGATTATTATACAGTTTTTAACTTGAAAGCAAAATGCTCAGATTCATTACAATACTGAGACACTGGACTTACTGTAATACAGTAAAAATAAATACTTTTTTTTTTTTAATTAAGCATAAATGAATCATTGTGCAAAATGCCACATAATATAATATTAATTTTGCATTACGAATTTAAAAAATGAAATCAAAGGGTTAAGACTGTAATTTACTGTAATATAGTAAAACAATATTACATTTTGTTTAAGCATTAATCAAAGTCTAATATTTAGAACAAATACTGCCATAAATACTACAAATAATATAACATAAATTTTGCATTACATAATAAAAAAAAAATTGAAAGAAAAATGTTCAGACTGTAATTTACTGTAATACAGTAAAATGACTACATTTTATGTTTATTTAAGCATTAAAGACAGATATTTAGAACAAATACTCAAATCATGGAAAAATACCATAAAGAACATTAATTCTGGGTTTCATATTATAAAAAAAAAACTTGTTCAGATCCATTACAATGCTTAAAAATTTGGTCAAGTATGACTGTAATACAGTAAAAAAAAAAATCACTAAATTATTTTTTTTTTTTCATAAATTCAATTCAGATATTTAGATCAAATATTGCCACTGTGCAAAAATACTACAAATAATATAACATTAAGATTTGGGGGGAAAGGCTTTTCCCCCCAAAACCCAAAAAGGTCATCACAATGCAAAACCAATCTTAAATCTTACCGAAGAAGTTCCATTTACTTTAAGCAAAATAAAGTCAGATGTGAGTGAAATGTGACCTGGACATTTATTTGAGGTTCAGCCGAAGAAAGCGAGACAGCGAGTGGTAAGAAAGGATGAAAGTGAAGTGAAATACTGAAAGGAAAGAGAAAGTGGGCAGGTATGAGAGTGAACATGTGCTTGTCTGTCTTCTGTCCGTCCTCAGCCCTGTTAGTGTGACACTGTCCGTGACCTCTGACCTCTGTCTCTGCTGTGATCTCCCCTCTCGCTTGTTGTTGTTGATGTGTGTGAAGCTAAATAAAGAAAAGCGATGACCACAGAGCTTCATTTTACCCCCCACATTAATTAATTTAATTTTAGGAAAATTGTACAGTTTTCATTACTAAATCAAAACTTTATTTTTCATTCAATGCCCCATACACCCAGTTTTTTTCCTCCTAATAACACTTTGTTTTCTTCCTCTATTCAGTATAACTTTCTCTCTCTCTCTTTCATTCATTTCATCTCTCTTTTTCATTTCCTGAGGTCTAGCAGAGGATTTTGCAGGCAGACGCTGGCAGCACTTTAACACACACATGTATCCACATAATTTACCCACTCTTTATTTCACACAGACCTTTTACAGCTGCTGTTTTTTGGGGTTGGTATTATTTTACCCGTTACAGGAGGACTGAGGCCAGAGCGGTGGCGTGTTCGGGAGAGAGACAGATTTAATGAGCCACTTTTACAAGAAGATCCCAAAAACAATGAAAGACCATGTCAATGTGTCACTTCTAATTAATTATGACACATAACTGAACTCAACACAGTTAATGCTGGAATAAAAATAGAGCGCAATATTGAAAGACACTGTTTCAAGCTCCAGAAGTACTTTCCCAAAACATTTTCTCCATATCTCTCGCTTGTTGTTGTTGATGTGTGTGAAGCTAAATAAAGAAAAGCGATGACCACAGAGCTTCATTTTACCCCCCACATTAAACAAACAGTAGCGCAGCAGCTGCTTGTCATTTGACCAGAGGAAATGATGCTAGCGAGCTTTTCTGCTGCTGTTTAAACGTCTGTCGGATATGATGCTAAACAACGCTCTTATTGTGAAACTGTTGCTGTTTTTTGTCTTGTTTCTGGTGGTCGACCAATGACCAATGTCAATGTACACACACAATACAATTTAGTGACGTACCTACAATTGCGGAAAACACTTGTTGTTGCAATGAAAACGATTAGGTCGCTCATTTCTTTTCACAATCACAGACAAAAACTCACATGAACATGGAAGAGATGGGATTTATCACTAAAAGGCAATGATTGCTATGCCCTGCTGTCATCCAGAGGCCGGATTCACCGAAATCTTCTTAAGAAAGAAGTCAAAAAGTTCCTTAAAGGGGTCATATGATGCTGCTAAACAGAACATTATTTTGTGTATTTGGTGTAATGTGTTTATGCGGTTTAAAGTTTAAAAAACACATTATTTTCCACATACTGTACATTATTGTTTCTCCTCTATGCCCCGCCTTTCTGAAACGCATCGATTTTTACAAAGCTCATCGTGTGTTTCCCAACCGGGGTACCGCGGCACCCTGGGATGCCGTCTGTCGAGAGCAGGGGTGCCGTGTAAAAAATCCTTTTTTAATATTTTTTAATTGCTAAAATGTTCAAAAAAGCATATAATATCCATTTCTGATGTCGCCAATAATTAGAGATGCACCGAAATTCCGGCTGCCGAATACAACTTAACCACTGATTTGTAGTCGTGTCCTCTTTTGGAAGACCAAACAAACAAAGTAGGCTTTCACAACGAAAAACACAGCGGCCTAGCGGAAGCCCCGGCTTAGCGTGAGCTGAGGCCGGGCTAGAGTGAGCAGACACGGTGGGGTTGAGAACGGCGCAGCCGGCGAATCCGATGAAGGAGCGGCAAGCACATGTGACGACCCCGGGCTTCGTCCACGGTGAAAGCCGATCCGGCGATCCACAGCACTAAGCTTCTTTATGCACCAAGAGCTTGTAACACTCCAAAGAGAAAGGAAAACTTGAAATCGCATCATATGACCCCTTTAAGATAAACTCTAGAAGTTTGTAAGAATGTTCCTAAGTGCAATTCTTGAAAGGTTCTCAGATATATGTACGAGAGCTCAAATAAATCAAATATATGTCTCATACTGTATGTTCTGAAGATGCTGAGAATTATAAATTAAATTGCCGTAATTATAAAATTAAAAAGGAGTTTCCCTTTTAACTCGATTTGAGGGATTGTAACTCAATTTCAAATTAAGCAAAAATTTACTTCATGTATAATCATAATAACCAACCACTGTTTATCAATCATTGGTGTTATTTTAGTAGCACTAAAATATTATTATAATTTTTTGTTAATATTTTGTAATTTTGTTGTTATTTTAATTTTAGTTTAAGTTTTAGTAATTTTGTTTGGGTTTTATTTTCGTAATTTTTATTCGTTTTTTTAAAAAAAAATTTTTTATGTCTTTCATTAATCTTTTAAAAGTTTTTATCGATTTTTCTTTCCAGGAAATCAGATTCTTCTAAGTTTTGTCTTTAGCAAAAACTTGAGAAAAAAAGATAAGAACATTCTGAAGAAATGTTTTGGGGAATTAAAAAATATTCATACCTTTATTCTTAAGTTTGAAAATAATAAGAAAATAGCAGTTACAGAGAATTTTTTTCTTAAGACTGTTTCATGAATCCGGCCTTGGGTTTTCAGTGTTTGTTTACATGATGGGGTCTGTGTTTGTGCTGTGTGCTGTCCGGACAGTCAGTGATTCACATGATTCAGTGATTCAGTCAGTGTTTGATTCACATGATTCAGTGATTCAGTCAGTAATGGATTCACATGGTTCAGTGATTCAGTCAGTAATGGATTCACATGATTCAGTCAGTGTTTGTTTGATTCACATGATTCAGTGATTCAGTCAGTAATGGATTCACATGATTCAGTGAGTGTTTGATTCACATGATTCAGTCAGTAATGGATTCACATGATTCAGTCAGTGTTTGATTCACACGATTCAGTCAGTAATGGATTCTCATGATTCGGTGATTCAATCAATGTTGGATTCACATGATCCAGTGATTTACTCATTGTTACATTCACATGATTCAGTAATTCAGTCAATGTTAGATTCACATGATTCAGTGAATCAGTCAATGTCAGATTCACGATTCAGATCAGTCAGTGTTGGTGTTTAGATGTGTTTTATGTCTCATTAGTTAGTGAACCGTATCAGTATAATTGCTGTGAATCACCAATGGTGTCAATGCCTAAACTTTTTCTCCATGTGATGTTTGTAGAAAAAACACTGATATTTCATGTTTATAACATCTAAAGTTCAAAATGTTCACAACGACGCCAGCACAGAGATGTATAAAGTTTTGTGAATTTGCAATATCATTTTGTGATCATACACTGTGTTGAAGGCCTGTGAGATGTACAGATGCGCAGATGAATGAATCGCCGTCACTAATCACACTAATGAAACGGATGATTGACGGATTCTTAATCATGTGGCCATAAAAGTACAAGAGCCTGTTTTTACTTCACTGCTATGTAAATAACGTTTATTATCAACTGTTACGCTAGATTGAAACAATAACTGCACGAAAAACCTTGGGTCAAAGGTCATGTTTACGTTGACATTATAGTTTTAAAATAAAAGTTGTTTGTAAAATTCTCTAAACCTCCTCAGACTCGTCTCATTATTGAAGGTAATTCCGAGCGAACAGGACTGCGATCTCTCTCTTTCCCTCACATTTTTCCCACAGTCTCAGGCTGATGTTGAGGGAGCGTTGCGTTAACCTCTTGTGCTCGGGCAGAGCTGTGGGATCAGGTTAACCCTTTGAAGTGTGCTTAAGAGAACCTGTGATCTTCTGGCTGCTATCAAGGGAATGTGTCTGACGCAGATATTCGACCATCACATCACAGACCTCTATGGAGACTCTGCATTTCTAAAGCTTCAATGCATGTTAAGCTCTACCGACAGCATTTATGGCATAATATACAATACCTTGCTTACAGAAATTAATACTTTTATTCAGCAAGGATGCATTAAATTGATTAAAAGTGACATTAA